TCCTACCATTTGCAACAACATGGATGGAGCTGGAGGGTATTATGCTCAGTGAAATAAGCCAGGCAGAGAAAGACAAGTACCAAATGATTTCACTCATCTGTGGAGTATAAGAACAAAGAAAAACTGAAGGAAGAAAACAGCAGCAGAATCACAGAACTCAAGAACGGACTAACAGTTACCAAAGGGAAAGGGACTGGGAGGATGGGTGGGATGGGAGGGATAGGGGGAAAAGGGGGCCTTACTATTAGCACACATAATGTAGAGGGTGGGGCGTACAGGGAGGGCTGACAACACACGGAAGACAAGTGGTGACTCTATAGCATCTTACTACGCTGATGGACAGTGACTATAACAGGGTATGTGGTGGGGACTTGATAATGGGGGGAGTCTAGTAACCATAATGTTGTTCATGTAATTATACATTAATGATAGCAAAAAAATAAAATAAAATGACACCGACCAGGTTGGCAAAGATGGAGTGTGCTGATACTGTGCTGCAGAGGGTTTAGGGGAAGGAACACTTTCAGACGGTGCCACTTTGGGTAGGAACCACAATGAGATGTGGCCCAGTTTGACATTGTCTTTACAAACCAGGAACACATATACTTTTTGAGAAAGCAGTCCCCACTTTGGGGACTCACGTATATGCTTTTTCACCATATGCACAATAGCATATGTACAGGTCGTTCACTGTACCATCGTTTCTAATGGCAAAGACTGGGGATAATCAAACATGCCCACGGTGTGAGAACGGTAAACTAACTCAGTGTACACATACATGGCAGAGTGCAGTGGGCCACGAGATGAAGGGGGCACTCCCTGTGCATGCATCCGGAATGCGCTCCGTGTCCTCCCTTCTCCTTCTGCCCCTCGTGGGCCCCTGGAACCCCCCCAGAGACAGGACCTTCCGGCGGCCTCCCTGAAAACCTCACGATGACCACCAGCATGAGCTGACTTTCACAGGTGGGACGAAGACACTATCACTGTCGGCTGCTCTGGCCTTGTGACCCTGAGCGAACGAAAGGATGCCCACCCATCCCAGAGTGGCTGACTGCCCAGCCCACACCATCGTCCTTGTGGAGAAGGGCCCCTCTTGTCACTGCGGGCTCTGCTCCAGGTACACACGTGAACGAGCATCAGCTCAGCTGTGCTGGAAGACACGGCCTGGTGCTCCACGGAGGACATGGGAGATGTCAGCCCCAAACCGAGGAGGGGCCTGCACGACTCGCTGCCCCCCACCCCATGCAGCCGCTTGATGGGCAGGATGCGGCACATCCTCTGGTTCGGCTGGGGAGCAGGCACGGCGGCTGCCCGCAGAGCCACCCCCGATCCGCCAGGCAGAGGCCTGGGGGAGCCCAGATCACCCACCTGTAGCTGAGTCTTCCGGAGGGCTGAGGCCAGAGGGGCTGGAGCCCAGGTCCAGTAACTTCCACGTGTCCTGGAGGGAACTGCCGGCAGGTGAGGAGGACTTCTGGGTGTGGTGGCCATTTTCCTCCTGGAGCTCCTGAGCCAGGCGTGGCTCTGGGGCCCATTTTTCTTTCTGACAAGTTGATCTGCGAGTCACTGTGTGGACTCTGTGTTGCCTCTATAAACATAGAGAACAGAATTACCCTCGAATCCACTGTTTCTCCAACCTGGAGGAAACAACGGGGCTCCCCGCCCGCAGGAAGTCACAAGGCAGTGGGCGCAGCCCTAAGACAGGCTTCGTGGGGACACGTCAAGGGCGGCAGAGAGGCGCCCGGGGACAGGCCTGAGCTTTCCGGGCGCGCCGCTGCCGAGTCATCAGGGGGTTCGCGTGAGCACATGGGGCCAGCGCCGCACGTGGCGCAGAGGCCGCCCAGTCGTGCAGGGAGGAGGGTCTGGAAAGCAGGGCAAAGACCCCAGAGCACCAGCCCTTCCCCACACACAGGGCCAGCGTGCGGCCTGTCCGCCCTCCACGGGGCTGGGGTCCTGCCACTACCCCCGCCCCAGCCCTGCTCCACAAACACTCCACTGCGCACTACCCTGCGGCCCCCCTGTGGGGTGCGGGGGGCCTGGCAGGCGGGCACCTGTGGGACGAGCACTCTGTGTCCCACAGGCGGCTCGGTACAAACGTGACGTGAAGACGCGGGCGCTGGCACTCCCCGCTGTACCTGCCCCGGCCCTGCTGCTGCCCCCACCGTTGGGTCCCGCGGAGTGTCATCTCTGGGGACTGTCTTTGCCAAGTGGGGCCGAATCTCTCCTGGGCATTTGGAGAAATGTTCCCTCTCGGCACTCCTGGAGTCCTGTCGTGGAGATTTAGACAAAAGGAGTTCAGGGCGCGGGCCTCCATGGGTGTGTCGTGGGGTTTCCCACAGGACGGGGAGGAAGCTCCCCCGGGCTCTGGTACCAGGGACTCACTCGGCTTCATGACAAGCCTAAAGGGGGGGACAGGGCTGTGTCCACTGGCCAGGACGAACGTCTCAGGCCTTGTGGTGTTAAGTCTAAGCGTCTTGCCCGTTGTTCCGGGAGACCAAGCACCCAGCATCACCCGAGCCCCCTCTGCAGCCTCAGGGGGCCCTGGGCCTGAGGTTGCTGGCGCATCTTCAGTGCCTGGGTGAGGCCACGCTGGGCCCTGCAGCCCAAACACTCCTCACGTCCTCCCTCCGTGGGGAGCCTGCAGAAAAGGGAACACTAGGCCAGAAGGGAATAGTAAGGAGAGTCACCTGAGGGCAATTAAAAGGAAATGTGGAAGAAAACAGAAGAATTAAAAGCAGCTGATTTGGGCAGCTCTGGGCAGCGGGCCGGCCCCAGGGAGAGCCTCCTCCCGGAGCGCCAGAGGGCACTCACACCTGCCGCAGGGCTTTTCCCTGCTCACAGCTAATTGATTTTTGAGATTTCAACTGAGCAATGCGTGCATATCTTTCGGTTTTTACGCACAGCCCTGGGTGGTGGGGTGATGAGAGGCTTTCACATGCGCTGATCAGCTCACTGAATTCCTTCCTGTAAGGTTTCTAGTCAAACCCTTGGCTTATTTTTTCATTGATTATCTGCCTTTTTCTTACTGATTTAAAGGAGTTCTTTTCTGTATGTGCTTCCTATTTCTTCTCATATGGCACCATTTACTACCGGAAATAAAAAGAAGCCCAGAAGTAGGCCCCATGGAGTCTTCTTGAGTTTCAAGAAGAGTCACTTCACGGGATGTATGGAATACACCATAGTTTTATAGTCTGAGAGATGTTTAAAGAGTTCCATGAAGTATTTTGTGGATACAGTGAGAGGTCCTGTGGCCAGGAATTCTCACCTGGCCCTGGCGGACCAGCTCACTGCACACCTGTGGGCAATACATGGCTGCTGACTCTACAAAAAGAGCTCCGCCCAGTGTTCTGGGTACGACATGGTGGCAGGGCTGCAAGGCTGCAGGACAGCAGAGCAGAGGCTGGAGTGGTGGCAGCGCCGAGGACAGACTGGGACGGCAGTCGGGGCGGAGAGGCCCAGGGGCAGAGACCGGCTTGCTGCTCACAGACTCACTCTGAGTGGACGGGGTTCTAGTGACTGACCTGCCACCTGGAAATAGACTTGGGTATAACCCTCTCACCCCAAGAACGTTCTGCTGTCATTTGTCTGGTCACACTGAATCCATAGCGAACTGGCCCGGGGCTGAAACCCACTGGGAAGACAGGAGGTCTAGATAACCATATACATGTTTTACCCCAGCTGGTAACAGGCACGTCTGCTTGATGGTTTGAGAGTGATTTCTCCCACGGTGCATATTTAAAAATTCAGGTACTCAGTGCGGATGATTGCAAGGTCACGGGCAGCTGGGGGGGGCTGTCCTCCACTGTCCTGGCAGCATTCACACGGGTGGCCAGGGGGGAAGGACTCAGAGCACGTGCAGCATGTGCG